AAACTCATGCCTAGTACTTTTAATTGGGGAAATAAAACCCATGGCTGAATGGGCCATGGACCCAAGGGGAGAATCTGATTCTATTATTGTGCTAAATGGCAATAAACTTCCCACTGTATTCGTATCTTTATATCTACGTATTAGTGCATCTCTGAACCCTCATTAGAGAAGATCTACTTTGCAGTAGATGACAATTAATACAGAAGCTGACTACTGGTCAATATACAGAGAATAGAAGACTGTGATGAGTGCTTAGATATAAATGGAACCTTTATATCATGCCTTCTCACCTCAAGGTTTGGGGATCATTACAGAAGAGTAAGCAGAAAGATTATAAGAGCCAGGGGTAGTGTACATCTGCATCAAAACAGAATTTGCTAGAAATGGTAGGACCTTTTTGCAAAAGAATCCATAGCAGCTCGACCTGCAGGTATAAGGCAGCCAAAATCCAAATATGGATGGTGGAAGGACTCATGAAGTCTTGTCTTGGGTCAAGAACTATTAGCAACTAATGGAAGCTGGGAAAGAAGAAGAGGGAGTGGGAGGGAGGGAGAAAGAGAAAGAGAGAGGGGGGAGAGAGAGAGAGAGAGAGAGAGAGAGAGAGAGAGATTTTTTCACCAGGGATGTGACCCCTGAGGGGTTTCCACTGATCTAGTAGATGACTCTACACCTAGGCACACACAGGTAGCCCTAAATAGACACAATGGTTTTAAAAACAAGAACATGAGAACTTGGAAGGAAAAAATGTTATTGAGTGATAATGGGGTAATTGGAGGGTAAAAAACATGACTTGGATTTGATTAAAACACATCATATTTAAAAAAAAACACAGATAAAAAACCAAAAGTTTTCATAAGCTGCATGTAGTAAAAGTAAGAATTCTTTTGTAAACTATTAATAGTCACATTTAGACAGATAAGTATGAGTTACAATGCAAAGTATATTTTGTACTAGAGGTAATTGTCAAAACAAAGTTTAAATATCCTTTCACAGCACTTTTGAACATTTTCCTATATGGCAATCTATTGAAGGGTTTTAAACAAGGTAATGACATGATCCAATTTGTGCTTCATCTAAAAGTTTAACCATCTTAGATCAAATTAGCCATGGAAAAGGTGTTGGAATCAAATTAAGTACTGATTGACAACTGGCTTTTTTCCAAATTAAATCTTCAAGTTAATCTAATCTGTCTCACAAGGAAAACACTTCAATTTGTACACTCTTATTTGACAGATACTTTTTGAATGCATATCACGTGTCAGACACTCTCCTGGACTCTGTAGATGTAATATAATGATAAACAGAATTATCACTGTCTTCATCTTCGACAAGTTCAGTATAGTGAAAGGGAAAGCATGAGAAACAATCGCCCCAAATGAATGTCATAAACACGAAAGAAAAAAGGGTACCAGGCACTATGAGGGATCATAGTGGAGCAAGGGTCCTGAGAAGGAGTAGTGTTTTAAATTATTGACAAGGGAACAAACTCTGTGAGGAAGCATTTTTTAAGGAGATACCTCAAAAAAGAAGAGAAATTAGAAGTAGTGCAGAGGAAAGAGCCACTCGGAAAGAGAGCAGCAAGTGAAAGACCTAGAGAAAATAAATAACTTGGCATGTTAAAGAACAGGAAAAACAAACAAACAACAAAGCAAAGCATCACTGAGGATTGACCAGGATTGCCAAAAAAATATAGTGGCATTGGATAGGAGATGTAAATATGACCAGGGGAGAGCATTGTGTGAGATTGAGTCTGGTGAAAACCAGCTCAAAAGCTGAAGGAGCTAGGTCCCTTGACAAAAACATGCAGAGAGCAGAGGAAAATACTGCTATTTAAAGAACAGCACTCCTTTATAGGGTCCTGTTCTAGGTGAAAGAAGTCATTTTTCTTGAAGAATTTGTTGGGTAAAATGGTCTAAAGTAGCTGAATACATTCCTGAGGTTAGAATGTACATCTGCAAACTACAGTGACAAGCCACACTCAGACCCAAGTCACTATTTTCTTCTTTCTTTAATTATTTCTTCATTCTTTGCAGTTCTCATGTGCCAATTCCTAGAGCCAATCCCTAATAAATTCACAGTGTTCTTCTAAAGTTATTGACCCCTTGCTGTGATGTTAACAGTAAGGCAAGGCAGATTGGATATGTCAGAGGTGGTCTGCTTGAAACAGAAAATCTTTAAGTTGACAATATCTGCTGCTTCAGAGTCCCAAATAATACCGTTGCCGATTCTATGATAAATGGGTATAGAGTTATCTTAGCGAGGGTTTCTATCACAGTGATAAAATACCATGACCAAAAGCAACTTGAGGAAAAAGGGGTTCATTTCAGCTTGCAACACGCAGTCCATCATTTAGGGAATTCGGGGCAGGAACATGAAAGCAGGAGCTGAGACAAAGACTATGAAGGAGTGTTGTTACCGGCTTGCTCCTCATGGTTGACTCGGCTTGTGTTCTTATAGCATGCAGGATCACCAACTCCCTCCTCTTGCTCAACTCTTAATCAAGACAGTATCCCCACAGACTTGCCTACAGGCCAATGTTATTGCCATGCTTTCTCGATTGTGATTCCCTTTCCTTAGACAACTCTAGCTTGTGTCAAGTTGACATTAAGTTAGCCAGCACACGAGTCAGGATTACAGACTACTATGCAGAGGATGATGATTCATTCACTATCTGGCCTCACCATTTTTACTAGCAAATATTCCTTCTTCTATAAATGCTTTACAAAGCAGAAGTTTGTTCATCTATTTTCTTGTAGCCTTCCCAAATTTATATTTAAAAAATCAACTGGTTCAAGCGAGTACAGGAGTAGTAGGAGAAATATGGTTGCTCAGAAATAAGGTAAGGAGGACAGAAGTGACTTGAGGGCATGAGGACTTAAGGAACATGGATTAGTAGTGTTTCAATAGGAGACGTAGCAGAAAGAGTTTTCAGTTAACATAACGTTTCTCATCCCTGGGTGAACATATCCACCTGGGCACATTTGAGAATGTCTGAAAATTCTCTGGTTACAATGCTAATAGTTTATCAGTTGACATATCCTGTTCTAGATTCTGGTTGTTGTGATATATACAATCACTAGGCTGTGTACTGGTCAAATGGAATAATCCCTCCAAAATAAAGAATGTCTTGGTAGTACAGTTGGTGGTCCCAAGTACTGCTGAAAGCAAATAGAAGCCAGCATCTAGTGCAAGGTAATTTTATGAATTCTCTTAAGTTCTAAGCTTCTGTTGTCTGAAACCACCAGAATCAGAAAGCAAACAGTCCAGAGCCTGGAAGAAAGAGAGGTAATTATTAAAAGAGAAGTGACAAAACCCTTCTGAGTTAGAATGACTCTCTTTGAGGGACAAAAGGCATTAGTTTTGCTTTGTTCAGGATCTGATGAAAAAATGACAGTATAATGGGGTGGATAAAAAGTTAGGATACAGAAAAGTTCTTTCCTGTGTGAAATCTAGACAACTACATAATCATTGTGGAGAAGTAAATATTGAACCTTTCCTAATATCCAAAAAATTCTAAGGAAGGGCTTTATGTGAATAAATTGGCTTTGGCAAGTGCAAGTTTAGTGAGACAGGCATGTATCACTTGGCCCCTGACATCATAGAAACACTTTGAGTAAATTCTGGCTTAGGAATTAGATTTTTGGATGTTTTACTTAAGTGATTCCCATAGCCCTTAAGAGTGATAACTGATTATATCATGTGTCTAGACAGTATTCTATCCAGGTAGTGGTATAATATATGCATTGTGATTTTCTGCACATTTGATCTCCCTTATACATATGGGAGATCATACCTTATGATTAATTAATATTTTAGCATTAGGCAATGTGTTATTTGAGATGTAACAATCTCATGAAAGCGGTGTTCTTATGATCAGGTGTTAATTCACTTATAAAAGATCAGTCAGAGGTCTACCTTTCTCCTTGTCCTGTGTGAGGCAGTAGTCAGAAGTCATCATTGGTGAACTCTCACTGCACCCACTGGCCTTAGTCTTCTCAGCCACTAGAACAATGTTATTTACAAGCCACTCAACCTAGGGCACTTTGTTATAGAAAGGTGAATGAAGTAAGACATTTCTTACTTGTTTATGAGCAGGATGAGTGCATATTACAAAGTCTAATGAGACTTCCAATATATTTAAATTAGCTGAAAAGTTCTTTCAGGCTATTTTCCATTTGTCAATTTTCTTAATATTCATGAGCTCAAAGGTAGCAATATTAAAATCAAAGTAGTCTTAGAAGAGGCGAAGCTTTGAGATTCATTTTGAAGAGTATTGAATTTCTATGAAGAATTCATTGAGGATTAACAATTTAAACAACTTCATTATAAAATCATCCAAAGGATAAAACACATTAGTTATTTTTCTCATTGTTGTGTGAAAATAACTGACAAAATTTAAAAAGCTAAAGGAAAGGTTTCTTTGGATCATGATTTGAGGAAGTACAATATACCAGGGCAGAGATGGCATGGTGGTAGGAGCATATGACTTCTAGTTATATTGCATCTGTAATTAGGAAGCAGAGAGACCAAATGGTGGTGTTCCTTTGGCTTTGCCCATTTTCACTTTTTATTCAATACAGAACTCCATCCAATGAAATGGTGCTATCCATATTCGGGGTAGTTTTTCAATCCTTAGTCAAACTACTCTGGAAACTGCCTCAAAAAATATACGTAGAGGCATGTGTCATCGGTGATTTAAAATCCATTCAACTTGACAGTGAAGAATAACCATCACAGCCTTTGTCCAGACTCCTTACTCTGGCTTTTGCTTTATCCTATTTATCTTTTGTTTTTTCCCTGTTTGACCATTGCATCTTGGAGCTTGCTGTTTTCTGAAGAGGAAGTGGAGTGGTCGTGGAGATGAGTGGAGAGGAGAGCGGGGATCATGAGTGGAGGGTGGGAAAACTGTAGTTGAGATGTATTGTGTGCCAGAAGAATCTATTTTCAATAAAAACTTTAAAAATAATACATTTAAATGAAGAATAGGAAATCTTGATACTGTGCTCACTTTGGCAGCACATGTACTAGAATTTAATGATACAGAGAAGATTAGTATAGTCCCTGTGCAACGATGACATGCAAATTAATAAAGTGTTTCTTAATTTTTATAGAACACCAAATAGATTGGAACCCATGCCACATAGTAATCAAAACACAAAATATACAGAAAAAGAAAGACTGTTAAGAGCCCAAAGGAAAAGGGCCAAGTAACATGTAAAGGCAGATCCATCAGAATTATACCCAACTTCTCAATGGAGAATCTGAAAGCTAGAAGGTCCTGGACAAATGTTTTGCAGACACTAAGAGATCACAGATGACAATCCAGAGTACTATACCAAGCAAAGCTTTCTATTATCATAGATGGAGAAAACAAAATATTACATGACAAAACAAGATTTAAACAATACCTATCCACAAATTCAGCTCTGCAGAAAGCACTAGACGGAAAACTCCAACACAAGAAAGCTAGCTGTGCCCACAAAAGCACAGACAATATATAATCTACATCAACAAATCCTAAAGAAGGGAAATACATACATACTACTAAAAAATAATAACAGGAATTAACAATAACTGGTCACTAATATCCCTTAATAATAATGGACTCAACTTGACTATAAAAAGGCACAGACTAAAATAATAGATAAGAAAACAGGATCCATCCTTCTGCTGCATACAAGAAAGATATTTTAACTTCAAAGACAGACATTTCCTCAGATGAAAGGGTTGGAAAAAGGCTTCCAAATCAAATGGACATAAGAAAGCTGATGTAACTATCCCAATATCTAACAAAAATAGACTTCAAAATAAAGAAAATCAAAAAAGATGAAGAAGAATATTTTATATTCATCACAGGAAAATATATCAATATTAAATCACATTCATGAACACTTATGCCCAAAATATAAGTGCATGCAGGTTTGTAAACAAACTAAAAAAACATAACTACACCTAAAATCACACTTTGAACCCCACACACTAATAATGGGAGATTTCAATACCCCACTCTCACCAATGGGCAGGTCTGTCAGACAGAAAATTAGCAGAAAAACAAGGGAGCTAACAGATGTTATGACTCAAATGGGCTTAATAAACATCTATAGAACATTCTACCCAAACACAATAGCATATACCTTTTCAGTACCTCATGGAGCCATCTCTAAGCTTGACCACATACTCAGTCACAAGACAATTCCCAACAGACACAAAAAAATTGGAATACCTCCCTGTATCTTATCAAATCACCATGGATTAAAGTCAGAATTAAATAACAATGCAAATTCCAGACTGCGTATAAACTCATAGAAACTGAATAATGCAAAACTGAATCACCCAAAGTCCAGGAAAAAATAAAGAAAAAATTAAAGACTCCCTATAATTTAAGGAAAATGAAGGTACGACATATCCAAACTTATAAAACACTATGAAAGCAGTACCAAGACCAGGAAAAAATGAAGAAAAAAATTAAAGACTCCCTATAATTTAAGGAAAATGAAGGTACGACATACCCAAACTTATAAAACACTATGAAAGCAGTAACAAGAGGAAAGTTCATAGCACTAAAGGCCAATACAAAGATCTCCCATGCTCTTGAGTAGGTAGAATTATCATAGTAAAAATGATAATCTTACCCAAAACAATCTACAGATTCATTGTAATGTCCATCAAAGTCCCAGCAAAATTCTTCACAGACCTTGAAAGAATGGTATTCAGCTTCATATGGAAAAACAAAAAAAAAAACCCAGGTTAGCCAAAACAGTCCTGTACAATAAAAGAACTTCTGGAGGCATCGCAATCCCTGACTTCTGTAGTATGAAAAGCAGACTGTGTCCCGCCACCCAGCTAACTTAACCCCCAAAATAACCACATAGAAATTGTATGAATTAAATTACTGACTGGCCCATTATCTCTAGCCTATTATTGGCTAACTCTCACGTCTTGATTAAACCATCTCCATTAATGTGTATCGCCACTTGACTGTGGCTTACCAGCATGAGTCTAACCAGCATCCATCTCGGACAGGAGAATCATGGTGTCTGCCTGTCTCTGATTTCTTCCTCCCAGAATTCAGTTCTGTGTACTCCACCTATCTAAATGCTGCCCCATCAAAAGGCCAAGGCAGTTTCATTATTCAACCAATGAAAGCAACACATAGAAAGAAAATCCTCCTACACCAGACTTCAAACTCTACTACAGAGCTACAGTACTTAAAACAGCCTGCAATTGGCATAAAAACAGGCAGGAGGACTAATGGAACCGAATCAAACACCCGGATATTAATCCACACACCTTCAAACATCTGATTTTTGACAAAGAAGCAAAAAATATCAAATAAAAAAAAGAAAGCATATTTAGCAAATGGTGCTGGCATAATTGGATATCAACATATAGAAGAATGAAAATAGACCCATATCTATCACTATGGACAAAACTCAAGGCCAAATGGATCAAAGACCTCAACATAAAGCCATACATACTGAACCTTATAGAAGAGAAAGTGGGAGTACACTTGAATGCACTGGCACAGGAGACCACTTCCTAAATATAACTCTAATAACACAGATACTGAGAGACACAATTAATAAATGGGACATCCTGAAACCAAAAAGCTTCTGTAAAGCAAAGGACACTGTCAACAAGATAAAATGACAGCCTACAGAATGGGAAAAGACCTTCGATAACCCCACATCAGAGAGAGGTCTGATCTCCAAAATATACAATGAATTCAAGAAATTGGACACCAAAAGAAAACATAATCCAATAAAAAAAATGGAGTACAGACCTAAACAGAGAACTCTCAACAGATGAATCTAAAATGGCTGAAAGACACTTAAGGAAGTGTTCAACATCCTTAGTTATCAGAGGAATGCAAATCAAAACAACTTTGAGAGTCCATCTTCTACCTGTAAGAATGCCTAATATCAAAAACACTGATGACAGCTTATGCTGGAAAGGTTGTGGGGTAAAGGGAACACTCCTGCATTGCTGGTGGGAATGCAAACTGGTACAGCTGGTTTGGATGTCAGTGTGGTGATTTCTCAGAAAATTAGGAAACAGGGGCTGGAGAGATGGCTCAGTGGTTAAGAGCATTGCTTGCTCTTCCAAAGGTCCTGAGTTCAATTCCCGGCAACCACATGGTGGCTCACAACCATCTGTAATGAGGTCTGGTGCCCTCTTCTGGCCTGCAGACATACACACAGACAGAATATTGTATGCATAATAAATAAATAAATATTTAAAAAAAAAATAAAAAAAAAAAAAAAAAAAAAAAAGAAAATTAGGAAACAATCTTCCTCAACATCCAGTAATACCACTTTTGGGTATATATCCAAAGGATGCTCAATCGTGCTACAAGGACTTGAGCTCAACTATGTTCATAGCAGCATTGTTTGTCATAGCCAGATCCTGGAAACAACCTAAATGCCCCTGGACCGAAGAATGGATAGGAAAATGTGGTACATTTACACAATGGAGTACTACATAGCAGAAAAAATAACGACATCTTTAATTTTGCAGGCAAATGGATGGAACTAGAAAGCACCATTTTGAGTGAGGTAACACAGACCCAGAAAGACAATTATCACATGTATGCACTCATAAGTGGTTTTTAAACATAAAGCAAAGAAAACCTGTCCATAAATCACAGTCTCAGAGAATCTAGACAACAATGAGGACCCTATGAGAGACATACATACATCTAATTTACATGGGATGAAGAAAAAGCCAAGCTCTCCTGAGTAAATTGAGAGCATGGGGACCTTGTGAGAGGGTTGAAGGGGAGTGGAGCAGAGAAAAATGTAGAGCTCAATAAAAAAAGGAAAAAAAAAGAGTTGAAGAAATCCCACACTAGTAAATTAACAGAACACCTGAAAGCTGTAGAACAAAAAGAAACAAACTTACCCAAAAGGAGTAGATGCCAGGAAATAATCAAACTGAGGGCAGAAAGCAACAAAATAGAAACAATGAGAACAATACAAAGAATCAAGAAAACAAAGTACTGGTTCTTTGAGAAAATCAGCAAGATAGACAAACTGTTATTCAAACTAACCAAAAGGCAGAAGGAGAATATCCAAATTAACAAAATCAGAAATGAAACGGGGACATAACAACAGACACGAAGGAAATTCAGAGAATCATCAGATCTTACTTCAAAAACTTGTACTACACAAAATTGGAAAATTTAAAAGAATTGGACAACTTTCTTGATAATTTTAATATACCAAAATCAAATCAAAGCAAGATAAACAATGTAAATAGATCTATAACCCCTAAGAACATAGAAGCAGTCATTAAAAGTCCCCCAGTGAAGACAAGCCTAGGACCAGATGCCTTCCATGCAGAATTCTACTGGAATTTCAAAGAAGAGTTAATTCCAATACTCCTCAAATTGTTCCACACAACAGAAAGAGAAGAAACATTGCCAAACTCCTTTTACAAGGCTACAGTTACCCTGATACCCAAACCACACAAAAATGCAACAAAGAAAGAGAACTACAGACCAATCTCCCTTATGAACATTGATGCAAAAATACTCAATAAAATACTGACAAACCAAATCCAAGAAGATATAAAAAAAATATTCACCATGACTAAGTAGGCTTCATCCCCGAGATGCAGGGTGGATTCAACATATGGAAGCCTGAGAATGTAAACTACCATATAAACAAACTAAAAGCAAAAGCCTACATTGTCATCACATTAAATGCCAAAAAAGTCTTTGATAAAATCTAATACTACTTCATGATAAAGGTTCTGGAGAGATCAGGGATACAAGGAACAAATCTGAACATAATAAAAGCTATTTATAGCAAGCTGATAGTCAACATCAAATTAAACGGAGAGAAACTCAAAGCGATTCCACTAAAATCAGGAGCAAGACACTCTCTCTATATCTGTTCAATATAGTACTTGAAATTCTAGCTAGAGCAATAAAACAGCTAAAGGAGATCAAAGGATACAAATTGGAAAAAAAGAAGTCAGAGTATCACTATTCGCAGATGACATGATAGTATACATAAGGGACTCCAAACACTCTACCCAGAAACTCCTATAACTGATAGACACCTTAGGTAATGTGTTTATCATAACACCACATAACAAACTAA